AAGAGGGTCGCCATCGTACTCTGGAAGCTGGCCACCCCGGACAGCTACCAATCGGTAACAAACCTGTTCGGGGTGGGCAGATCATCCATTGGTACTGTCGTCATGCAGGTAAGTCCCAGGGAGAGTGGGGGGAAGGGTGCTGCACTCCATGCCCAGGGGCAGGCAAGACTCCAGGCTGTGTCACCCAGGGGTCTGGGCCGTCCGTCCCTTGAACAGGCCTGCTGGTGGGGCGGGGGGGCCCTGGTGTGTGTGTGTGTGTGTGTGTGAGGACAGAAGGCATCACGGGGGGGGGAACCTCCTAAGGGAGCACGCACTCACCCTACCTTATGTGATGTGTTCCCGTATTTCTCTGCACCCTTCTGCAGTTTGTCCGTGCCATCGATGACATCCTGCTCCAGAGAGTCATCCACCTGCGCGACGTGGAGGCTACGGTGGCCGGCTTTGCGGCTCTGGGGTTCCCCAACTGCGGGGGAGCCCTGGATGCAACCCACATCCCTGTCCGTGCCCCGGAGCATCGAGCGTCCCATTTCATAAACAGAAAGGGTACTTCTTCATCGTACTCCAGGCCCTCGTGGACCACCGTGGCCACTTCCTGGACATTTATGCGGGTTGGTCTGGCAGGGCACACGACGCACACATTCTACAAAACAGGCTGGAAGCAGGCACTTTCTTCCCCCAGCGGGAATTTATTGTCGGGGACATGCCAATGCCCACGTGTGTTGTGGGGGACGCAGCCTACCCCCTGCTGCCCTGGCTAATGTGGCCCTACACAGGGCAGATGGACCACATCCCGGCACAGTTCAACGACTGCCTCAACCAGGCCCACAACCAAGTTGAGTGCACCTTCGGGAGGCTGAAAGCCTGGTTCCGCTGTTTCCTCACCTGTCTGGAGATGGGTGAGTGGAATGTCCCCGAGGTAGTGGCTGCGTGCTGCGTGCTCCACAATCTCATGGAGCGGAAGGGGGAGGCCTTCCTCCCGGCATGGATGGCAGGCGAGGGCCAGGCCTTCAAACAGCCCCACACAGCTGCTATCCGCCAGGAGCACCATGATGAGGTGCGCATCTGGGAGGACCTGACAGAGATGTTCTCCCAGGCCCCATAGTAGGGTCCCCTCCCACCCCTACCCCTTCCCTCCTCTCCGACCCGTACCTCCCAATAAACAACCAACACAGGTTTTTTTGGAAAACAAAGTTTGAACATTTTATTTACAATGGGGAGAGGGCTCTGAAGTGGGAGGGGGAGGGGGCTCTGAACTGGGAGGAGGAGGGGAACTAGTGCTGGGAGGGGTGGCGACCTCCTCTGTGGGGCCAGACCAGCACGTGTGGGTCTGGCCACAATGGGGCAGGCACCACAGAGAGGTGGGCAGGAGGGGCAGCAGGAGCAGGCGGGATGGTGGGAGCAGGAGGGGGGGGCACGGGCATTTGAAAGGGAGGGACGGCGGGTGGAGGGGGTATTGCCATGCCGGAGTGCATGGCCTGCGCCATGTGAGCGGTGAGGGCTCATCTTCCTCCCCTGCCTCACTGGGCCTGGTGACGGGGG